TGTCTAATCGAAGGGTTTTGTTAAATGATACGCCTCAAGATCAACCATGAAATCCATCCATGCTCAGTTCAAACAATCGCAAGTAATCTAATAAGTTGAAAGCTTGTTGATCACGAGGCATCGCACGAATATGCTAATTCCACAATATGATGTAAGTTGCTGTACCATAAACTTCATGTTGCCAGTGCCAGACGCCTCAGTTCCTGCGGTTGAGATTTGTTCACTGAGATCTGCAGCCGGTATGATTTTCTCGGCCATTGAGACACGATAGTTCTCCAGGAAGACCACCTGAACAATCAGAATTGATTTCGGAATATTGGATGAAAAACGGAATTCATACGAAAATTATGTATGAAAAGATGAAAAGACCAGTAGAGTAGTACTACACGAACCTTAAGTTTATTACCAACAATTGGGTCATTGTTGACAATTTCAGCAACCGAGTTGATCAGCTTGATAATTTGCTTCGCCATATGATAACCTGGTGCAGACTGCAAAGAAAACAACTTATTCGACGATAACTCAACAGGAACGGCATTATAACTAGGTGAGTGTGATCAGGAAGACAGCATTGAGAAGGAAAATAAGTATGGTATTGCGATATGCAAACGCTTGGATGAGTTCAAGTTGTTGTTCGCGTAGCACCAACCTTTCCTGCGAATATGACTGTACGAGGCACAACACGTGCGTTCGGATCAGATTTAATACGGTTGTACAGGGTGATCACGTGAAGTGCATTCAGCAGTTGGCGTTTATACTCGTGAATTCGCTTGACCTGAAGTTTGAAAAATGAAGAAACTCACTGCTAATGAAGCAACTCGCTGAAGAAACTGTATAATGACCCGGAAACGAAGCGATTTTCGTTAAATCGCCAGAAAACGCCGTATAAATAAACATGATTAGGATATGAACAAGCGATAGATACATATCCAAGTTATGAAATTTTAACAGATCTGGTTTGTCACTGATAACCTCTTATAGATCAGTTAACTCAAGCACAACCAGTGCTCATGTTTAATTGCTCAATAGAAGAGGAGATTCGACTAAACAGAT